TACTAGTACACGTAGAAGTCGTCCACGAATGGACAGGCGGACTACATACGCTGGACGCAGCATTATATTAATAACTCATAGGACCTCGAGTTCGTTGAGCTAAAAATATATCTATTATGTTGTGTCAGTAAAACCCCAAAATATATAGTAATTAATTAAATATTTTAAGCTAGAAGGTGTCCAGATACTGAAAACAAAGATCTTGACAATAAATCTTCTGCTCTATTTTGTGTTTGGTGACATTATTTATTGACACCGTACCTGAACAATCGAGAGTAGTTAGCATATGGTGCACACCAATTGGTTTAGTAATACAATTAACCCTAATCAACATTGGTGATATGTTTTTCTAAAGTCTATTAGGAAATCTTATTATCTGCATGCATGCAATGTATTAGTCATTATTCGACTATATAATTCCCAAGGTTAAAGACTCGGTGTAATTATGATATTTAGATACCAGTATTACATTTGTTGACAAGATCAGACTGTCTTTAACATTGAACATGACCGGAAGATCAGATATTGAAATTTGTTCATGCTAGCTGAATAGGCGATGCAAGTTTATAAATAAGCATGGTAAGATAATGCTCAGCGTGTTTGTAATTATGCCAGCTTGTCCATTGTTAATCACTAGGAAGGTCATTGAATTTGAAAATACGTATAGATTGATTTCCGGGCTAATCTCATCCATCACCGGTGAAAACAGAGGCTGATACCCCCACTTTAGGCGAGTTATTAAGGCTCTTCTCAACAGTGTAACAAGACTAACCATACACGCGTAGCAAATGTAAAGTTAAGTTTGGACTTTTTCCCGACTTGAGTTATTTTCCCGAGCTCATCAGCTCGCACAAAGCTCATAGTAATAAAGGTACAGTCGTGCGCGTCCAAGTAACATTGAATGTTCTGTGACGTAGCACCCAGTTGAAAGTGATCCAGACAGTAAATATAAAACAAATGTATTCAGTAAAGTGATTATAAAAATATAAAAATGACAGAAACAAACTCAGTTTCCAACGGTTAAATACTCTTATCAATGAGTATAAAATTTCGACTATTTTCCAGCAAGTATAATTAGCATCAAATGGTGTATGAATTATTCGTAAACAAGTTGGTTCTTGTTTTAGGTTTAATGCGTAGGACGTCGGAAAAAATAAAAATAAAAACTACACATTTAAAGTTACTAAATCACAATACATATACTCATATTACTGAGTCATACAGTCTCTGAATGGTTTATTGTCTCATTCAACATTCATCTGCAGTTGAATATAAAGAATTTGAAAAATTCACAAAAAAACACCTTCTGCAACCTTAGTTACATTTCTGCTGGAAACTACACACAGTGTGTTATTTCCAGCAAGAAAACGCTTCAGATGACAAAATAGAAATGTAATCACTTAACGATAATATTTATTTAGTAAAAATGGGCCGGAAGGAACTTGAAGATATACTGGTGTCAAAACCCAGGCATAATACCAGAGTAGTACACTTGGCTCTAGCCTCGTGTATAAAGTATACCCGAGTCCTTATACTGCTTACAACTATTTTCAAATATATTTAAATAATTCCTAAAGTAAAGACAACAATTGTTCATTCCCGTGCGCTTTTGTAAAGCATTGTCATCCCTTTAAGCCTATAGATTTTTTGTATATATCTCGCCAACGCTCAAATTTGTGGGAGGGGCCTTTTATACGGCTATTATAAGAGAAGCAACAAGAATAAACATACTTATTTATTCGGGTACATACCAGTAATCGCCAGAGCGCTGTTTTGTTGAGTTTGTCGTGAATCGAAATATTTTGTGCATGAACCAAAACATTATTTTGTGTATGATCGAGATAGTGTATAAACTTATAATGTACATGAACTAATAAACAGTATTCAAAATAAATCATATTGTCTTCATGTCATTGAATACGGTGTATTCAGATACAGAAATCCCTTCTCGTACGCTAATTAAGGTGAACTTATCTCCTCATCTGTTGTCACTACGTCATCTACTACGTCACAAATAAAATGAAAGCGCAATGCGTTCATAAATTGCTATTCTTTCTATGTAGAAATGTTATCTTACTCGTTTATTGTCTGTACACGTCAAATAATTGTGTGATGACCACTGGCAAGATATCTATCCTTGGAATTATCGTATACAGATATTATCTAATTATAGCTCACAATGAAAAATGAACAAATGTGCCCCAGGTGCGGTATCAAACATTGCTATAAAAGTTGACAAATCACAAGAGGAAACACACCGAGCAGCACCACTGATCAAGTCGGTTGTACAGTTCTATGCCAGGTAAGTATGGTCTTAGTTTCATTGTGAAGTTGTTATAGAGTGTGTTTACCGTGAGTTGTGATCGATGAGTCGGGTCTCTATGTGAGAGACGAGACTCACGAACGAGTGACCACGTTATGTATTTTATAAGACGATTCTCCATCGATTGTAACTCGTTGAATGGCTATCCCCCAATCACTTTGAATCTATCGTATGACACAACTTATAATATATTTTAAAGCTACAGTATTTACACGTCCTGATCCAATATGTACTTGCATTTAATCATAGTAACTATGGTCTTAAGCGGATTGAAGATGTTGTCAGTAATCACATTTTTTGCCGTAGTTGGCGTGTGTTATACAAGTAGTGAAGGTAAGTACCGGGTTAATAATGTCGAAAGCCCAAGAAGTCTATAACATGGGTAAACTCATTTCAATGATCTCTTTTTGTTATTTGTCCCAGACATTTTGCACACTAAGAGTTATTAGAGCTGTTTATACTCCACTTTGTGAGGATATTATTTCTTCAAATGTTGTATTAAGATGCGGATTCGAGACAACAATGGCGACAGACGTGCCTGTACATAACTGGTGCCACTGTTCTCAAGGAGTAAACATACACAACGGTTACCGCTACCAAGTACACGTGAAAATTGTTTCTATTGCAAATATTGTCTGCATTGTGGGCAAAACGAGTCATAGGTACGATAACACAAACACGAATATAAATATTCCATGACCTGAAGATGCATTAATTCTATTCACCTTTATTACTTGCACGACGGACGAAGTACGGGTCACACATCTCGTCGCGTAAATGGCAATAAAATTAGGTATTGTTTGGTTATTTGATTTTTAAATACATTTACTAAAGGTCGTCATCGTATGTACAATGTTTTATTTGCAAAGTAACTTAAATTTAAATTATGCGAATTATTTTCTCGAACACAATTATAGTTATTTTTATGTGATACAATATTCTCATTGTGATAACGGTGTTTAAAGTGTTAATACAGCCACCGTCTTGTTAAAAGTTATCGCTACTAAAATTCATATCGATTTTGCCCACCCCTTATATAGCTGTTTATTTTACCAATCACTAAATGTGTACATTTCATCTCCAGCAACATACACGAGCTGTACCTGTTATCGATACGAGGCATTCTGTTAAGACGACACATCAGACTGGTACACAGGTAAAACGCGATGTGAAAATATGGGTGGTTGGCTCGCTACTATAGACCAGGAGTCCACATTCGACGGGATACGAAACGCCGTTATTGATGAAGGAATGGACAACGAAGACTGTCACAATTATGGCTTCTGGATTGGCTATTATGACGCTACCCCTGACGGTGATGGTCACACAGCTTTGGACTTTGAGTGGCTTCATGGTATGTGTACTAACTGGACAGAGTGGCAGCGAAACCAACCAGATGATAACACAAAAATGTCCGCCGTGGGTCAAAACTGTGTCCAGATGTGGTAAGCAGGTCCTTTTGATATTTCTTCTTGGAAGTGAAGAGTCGTAATGCTATATACACAGTGTAGTGCAAGAAATTTGCGCCCACGTATTACACGGATCGGAATACCGAGTGCTTATTTATTAATTCCAGTTTACTTAAACTATTGACGATAACAGTCGTCTTAAATATCCAATATATCTGACTAAAACTTTTTATGTAAACAGATATTGTAATTATATAGCAGAGACCGCTATAAAAAAAAAGCTGATATTAGGTGTCCTTTACAACTCAACGTCCGATACATTTTGCACAAGTTTATATCCCTTCAAATATGAATAAATTCATTCCCTAGAAAATAAATAAATAAATAACAATCTCAATAAAATATAACTATATACAGTGAAGTGTGTAACGTAAGTTTAAATATAATACACACGTATTTACAGAAAAACTATTTCCCGTTCTCTGTCTAAATCAAATCTGAGCAAGAATATTGGTTGGTTAATCCGGTGCTACCTTTCATTATACGAAGAGTAACGCCATAAATAACAGCGTGTCGTAATTTTTGCGATATTGCACTGGGTATTTTTATCCTACCATATTAGGAAATGCGAATTCCAAATATGAAATAATTACGCGCGTAAGCGTCCTCTAATAATAAAAACGAGCATGACTCCACTAGGGTTTGATCGGACTCCACACAAAGTTCGCTGATTCTGTTCTAAACTGTTCTAAACGAAGACAGTAAGTACACCATCGCATCGACTTCCGCTGCGCGTCGGTCGATACGCCCGCTGTACTGTCTTCGTGCATACTTTGGGATATCCTCGTAATAACCTCATATAATTCTACACTCTTGACTCCAACCTTGCCTCGAAATACTCATTATGTGACCGCATGAAAACAGTCATAAGTAACATACTTTACGAAGTGATCACACGAATGCTGTCATTTATTTCATTTCTGTTGTCATAGGTTCAGGAAGAAAGGCAGATTTGACGATGAATACTGCACAAAATTGAAGGGATATGTTTGTCAAGTACCAGAAAGTAGGTATTCTATTTCTAAACGTGTATGCAAATTATGCGTATATTTGTTACAATGTTGACGCGCGAGTTCAATTATATACTAATATTTTTTTTTTTTTTTCAGGTTGCGATTGTAAGATGCGAGATGAAGATGACTAAGTATTCCAGTTGCTATGCCAACCAGACACTCATTTAACATGCGTGCATAAATGTTCCGTTATTACTTGTAATTCAGTATTGATAATTTAAGTTATTGTTACCAATATTAATGTGATTTACTGCGCATGTCTCCCAGAAAAATGACAAATTATGCATCACGAGTTCCACCAGAAGATAGAATTCGTGTGCATATCATGTGTATTGCACCAGTAACATAGTTAATATTGAGAAACTCGAAAAATCTTAATATTAATCCGACCGTTCTACATGTATTCATTGTCAGCAAATATTTAAATTGTATTTTGAGAAGAACCCAGGCAAAAAAGTATTTTCACATATACGTACCCGTTATGTTAAGGTGTCTTCAACAGACAATCAGATTAAATGGCACCTTCTAGTCAGAGTTTTCCATTCTAACCAGTATGCACTTAATAAATATTCATACTTTATTTGGCGTTTAATAACAATTCTGTGACAGATTTTAAAAACTGAAAAAAATTATTAAATTCCTTCAAGAAATCTTTATATTTCAAATAATGTAAACGAAACGTTAGTTACCTTATATACGTGGTTTGCATGAACAAATAAAAGTCTAGTTGCACTGTTATTTGTTGCGTATCGTTGTTTATAGAGAGTTGCGTGATTAGGGGGTTAGCTGACTTCCGGTTGCCAGTGAACTCTAGTGACAGTGATGATTGACATACGTGGAGTTGGTAGAGCAGATTGTGATTGTGACGTATCACTACTACTGTACCGAGAACAATTCGACTTCATTTGACAATAATCGTAAACATTGGCAATAGCGAGGTCCTGATACAGTAACTAACAAATATCATTTATTTTATCACTTTCCTCAGTTCACCCTTTATTGTTCGTTCTTTTAAAAGAATTTACCTTTGGTCAACGTCCATTAACACAACAACGCATCTGATCATTACATTGGATGTTGCGTTATTGTTGTGGGTAATATATAACGAACCTACGACTGACGTCACTACCACAATATGCATACCTATAACTTTGTGTTATAGTTAGTTAGCAAGCGATCGAATTGGTGTGAAATCAAAATAATTGGGAACAAGTTTACCAAAAAAGCTGTTATTAATATGCGGGTGGTCGTATGAAATTGCCGTATAAACTTTTAGATACCATAAGGTAATTAAACAGCAGATGTATATATCATTATGTGTGACAATTTTAATATTTAATCATATGCTATTAATTATGTCAGCGAAGACTGTTACTAATGTTTTATTCTTATGATAAAAATGATTATTATACATCTGTCACCGGAACGCCATAAGTTACAGCGTGCCGTAATTTTGCGGTATTTTACGGGGTATTTTCATACTACCATATTTAGAAATGCGAATTCCAAATATGGAATGATTACGCGCGTAAGCGTTCTCTAATAATAAAAACAAACATGGCTGCCACCAGGATTTGACCGGACTCCATACAAAGAAGTTCGCTGATTCTGTTCTAAATTTTTAGATTTCGGCATTTCCATGATGTATCCTTGAAGGGAAAAGATGTATAATAATAAGGTTAT